AAACCAATACTTTCGTACCTTTGCCTCCATTCTTTCTGCCATCCGCTGTATCTCTACATCTATGTCTTTCTTAAAAAGTTCTATCACTTCATAGATGTCAGCAATAGCTTTGAAGAAAGTATGAGCAGTCACATAAGATGTTCCTAATACATCAAAAAATAACAACAAATTATTCACATATTACAAGTTAATAAAAGTAAAAACCATGAATTTGAATAGGTGGAGTTCTGTTCACATACCCGATACCCGTAAGGTGAGCTCATAAAAGAACTTCAAATACTTCATTAGCCGTCGAATACTGCTCCAATCTTCCTTAGTTGGAGGACCTCTCTTTGAGTCCACATAATCCCGAAAAGCATAATCATTGGGGCTCGCATGCAAGAAGTTAAAAACAAGCTCAAACCTTTCAGCAGATTCCAACATCAAATAAGTTGAGTTCCACCTAGTTGGAACATCCAAAGATACAAGTCTTCTTCCATCCATTTGTAGATATTCAATGGCAGATTTGAACTTTGCACTTCTACATGGTGATGACTTCACCCATTTCACACAATCTCGAACCCTTTCTACAGCAACTCCAACCTCCTTCAACCCATCTGACACAACCAAATTGATTATATGTGCCACACATCGAAATTGCAAATACTTCCCACCAAGCAAATCTGTTCCCCACTCTTTCATCTTTGTTCTCAATAAGAACATCATTAGAAGAAGCATTATCCATGGTAATGGAGAACAAATGTTGTGCTTTCCAATCTTGTAGACATTCTGCCAATTTTTCTGCAATATCCTTCCCACTGTGACTAGTGATGGGAACAAAGCTAATGATCCTCTTCTGCAGCTTCCAGTCACTCCCAATGAAATGAGCAGTTACACACATGAAGTTCTGGTTGTTATCAGAAGTCCATGTATCTGTGGTGATAGAAATTCTTCCTTTGCACTTGGATTTGAAGAACTCAGATAACAACTCTTTTTTCTCCAAAAAGATTATATAACAATCCTGCCTTATTGTCTGTCTTCCAGTTATCACAAAACAATGGTTGGGTTACCGCCATAAATCTCTTAAACCCTTCATGCTCAACAAAGCGAAATGGCAGCTCATCCAAGATGATCATTACAGCTAATGCAGTTCTAGCTTTTTGTTGATCAAACTTCCATGGAGTAAGAGAGCCTACCTCGCCATCACCAGGCTGATAATTCAATAGTGATTGACCACTGGCTGCCTTCCTCTTTCTCGCACATGACAAGTGATGGTTTTTCAAACCAGTAGTCCCGTTATTGATCGAGTGAGCTTTTATCAAAGTTCCACACTGTTTGCATTTACCATATGGGTAGTCATCCACCAGAGCATCATCATAATAATCCCACCACGGGGATCTCTTCTTCCTTCCCGGTCCCTTGACATTTTTCTTGGGCTCACCAACTCCATCCGCTGGCGTAGCAACTGCAGGTGTTGCAGTAGCAGTAGCAGGTGCAGATTCAATGCCTGTGGTAGGTGTAGGTGTACTAGATGAGACATTCCCTTGATTCCCTTCTGCAACTCCAACACGAGTACCCAATTTTTTGGAAGTGGTTCGAGGAGGAACTGAACCACTTTTTTTCGGACCATCTCCTTTACGAGGACGAGAAGGTTTTGTCCTATAACAAAAAGAAAAAAAACATAAAAAAATAAAAATCATTAAAATGCCATTGCCGACATGTCAAAAAACAAAAATCACCCAACCATAAACCATTAAATAACTATCTTACATTTTTCACTTTGTTAGTTTGTTTCTCAAGTAACAAAAAACCAAAAACCACCCCTTGACTTTGTGGGGATCGGCTGTACACCCCTTGTTTTTTCACTTTATTATATATTGCTTTGCTTCTGCCTTCTGCTTCACCTGCAAGCAAGCCTAAAAAATCAACAAAAGTACAAATTACAAAAACCATGGACCCATGCTTCTCTGCTCGGCAAAGTCACAATTCACAAAGTTACAAAAACCATGGACCCATGCTTCTCTGCTTCACCTACATACAACTACAAGAGACTACGACAGTCGACAAAGTCACAATTCACAAAGCACATTTTCACATTTGTCATTTCTGAAATAATATATGCTTCTAACCATTTGATTCTAATAAGTTTGGAAGTACTAATAGAGAGTTTGAAATTGAAATGGCTCCAAGTCAGATTAGAACAATAAAATAGCTGAAAATTTCATGTTCTGATGAAAAATGTGAAATTAATCCGACTTCAAAATAATAAATCTTTTTATGAAGGTACAAAATTATAGTTGTTGAATCTAGGCCAACATTTATACAATATACATGTTATAACGTCATTACCTGCTTTCTGTAATAATCGGTGAACACTTTACCAAACTACCAAAAATACCCACAAATCACATTTCCCTCTCCATTTCTACCCATTAAACACTTGTGGAGGAGAATTTTTGTAACATATAATAATAAATTTACAAATAAGACAAAAGTAAAAAGTATATTTATTTCCTCGCTTAAGGTATTCTCTAGAGTATAACCAAATATATCAAATTTCGGTGAGACCATTGAATTCCGTAACATAAAAATATACCTTATGTAACAAAATTAATCTCTATCACAGAAAATATTTATCATAAAAGTTGGTTTATCGCTATTATGATCATTAAATAAGACATTTAAGAGACTAACATGATCAACAAATTTTATGAGAAAACTAACTTTTCAAATATTTTTTCTAATCTTTTTAATATGGGGTTTCCCCGGAGAAATAACAAGAAAGAACATACAATCAGAAAACAACTCGAACCCACTTACACCTGAAGATCATGAGTATTACAGCAATTAAGCTCTAAAAATAAATAAAAAGCACAATAACTTATGAATAGAGGTGGCAATTTCAATCTAATCCATCAATCCATTAAAAATATCCAACTAATCCAATCCATTTAAATCCAATCTATTTGATCCAAATCCAATTGAATTGGTGGATTCATGGATTGGATCCATGGATCATTGGCAAATTATAGTTTAGTACCTATAATTTTTAATTTTTACATTTTGATATCTAAAATTTAATTTTTTATACGAAAAATATCATTGGAAAATTACATTTTGGTACCATAAAATTTTCATTATGACATTTTAGTACCTAAACTTTTCACATTTGACATATTGGTCTTTGGTTGAAGATGTTATTTGGATTCATAGATAATCCACTTGATTCAATCCATGAATCCACCAATCCATTAGATCCAACCCATTTTGATTCATGAATCCACCAATCCAATCCATTTGCCGCCTCTACTTATGGACAACCCAATTAATAACTGAAAGACAATCACGCGAGACGAGTCCACAAAAAATATCATACAAAACAACCTTCTGGATCCGATGAATGACCATTGTGGAGTCACCTTCAGTCACCACCTTGTCAATTTGATGATCTTATGCTAAGAAAATGGGTTGGGGCTAACTACATGTGCTAATCTTTTTTCATGTCTATGTTTGACCCGGCTTTTAAAAGTGCTTTTCGAGTTCAAAAGCTGAAGCATGGCCAAACACATCTAAAAGCTCGACTTTTGAAAATCCGAAAAACGCTTTTGTATAACATAAAAGCATAAGCTCCGATTTGGAGCTTATGCGAAAAGCTATTTTGAAATACAAGATTATCCTTACCATATTTTAATTTTATTTCAGAAATATAATTTTATTTCATTTATATCATTTTAAAAATAAAATAAATTATAAAATAATATTATTTAATATAAAAAAGTCTAATAAGATCAATTTTAGTATATTTTATTATTTAGAATTATTATTCATAATTTATATTATAAGTCCTTTATAGTCATTTTACACAACCTCTCATATTAAAAAGCACTTCTAATAGTTTTTCAGCCAAACACTCAACTACTGTTTTTTAAAAAATACTTTTCTAAAAGGCTAAGCTCAAGCCAGAAGCTGCTTCTGCATAAGATACAACAAGTCCAAAGTGAGCCAATTAAGGTCCAAGTAGGGGTGTTCAAATGGTTACCGTGGTAATAACCAAACCAATTAAGCCTACATTTCATTAACCATGGAATAAAATGTCTTGACAAAACCGTCCAAATTAACACGAAAACCAAATTAACCAAACCAAAGTTTAATTGGTTTGGTTAATCGGATAATCGAATTAACCAAATAACATAACTTTACATGAAAACAATTATCATGTTAATGAATAAAACATAACCATATGTTATTACTATCATAAACTATCATTATATATAAGCAATAATAATAAGACTAACCATCCATGATTATCATCATCATTCGAGTTAGTACATCATTCATCATCTCTGCACCTAATATAGTTAACTTACAACAAACCTTTAACATAAATATTAAATACATACCAATACCACTCATAAGGAAGTTAAAGCTCTCCTACAAAACACTTAAGCTATACATAGTTTGAGGTGGTTGTCATGGTATTGTACGTAATCCTAAAGTCTAGTAATTGTCCAAAATGTTTTTGGTTTAGTAAAATGGCAGGTCCATTTAATTTTTGACCCATAATGCCTTGGTTTGTTGTGCACATGGAAATAAAATAGGGAATCACGAAAGTTCGGTTTGGTTGGTTGCATGGAAGTATAAATAATTTTGTATATTAGGTGTATCATTAATTGATTAATTGGTTTCATTGGTTAGCAGTGTTGAAACCAAACCAAACCACCTAAACCAAATAAGCTAAATTGTTTAACCAAACCAGACCAATTATCCAAATTAATCAAACCAAATTAACCAAATACTACCGGTTAATATGATTACCACGGTAACCAATCCATTTGAACACACCTAGTCCAAGGGTGGGAAGTTGGGAACTCATTACCTGCCCTATTCTTAGCTGTAGCGGTTGTCGGTTAATCTTTGGCCCACAGGTAAGAATGGGCCACGTTGTTGGCAGCCGTAAAGATAAAATTTCCAGCCCACCACTTGATTATCCGGGCCCGGCCCGACCCACAGCTTCCATATTCGAACACCGGAGACGAGGTTCTTACAGTCGGTTGCAATCTCCACTCCAGCGCCACCATTCTTCGTTCAATCGCAGGCAGCTTCAATTCCAAAAAGCAAAAAGCATGGCTCTAGCCGGGTTCCCTCTTCAATCGAAACATACCCGTCCGGTCCCGACGATTGGAGCATGCATCACTTCACTCTCTGCTTGCAAGGTCAAGGTAATGTCGTCCATGGCTCTTTGAGCAACCTCTCCTTGTTCGAGCTTCAAGTTGTTGTTGTTATGATGATTGTTTCTTTCTCCCAGACACAGAGCAGAGCGCATTTGCTGCCAAGATTGCCAAGTCCTTGTATTCCAATTGAGAGTGCCTCGATTGCACAGCACAACGGACACTCATCTCATCACTCATCAGAAGCAGCCTGGATCGCTTCGCTTTTGGTAAGATCCATTTCCCCTCTTTCCTGAATATAACTCGTTACTTAGTTTCCGCAAGCTAAGCTTCCATAGTTTAGCCCAGAACTTAGAAATTAGAATTAGGTTCCGGGTGGTCATACCTGCTCTGTGGTTGAGGGCTGAAATCTCGTAACCATATAGATGCCATTGGAGTGGAGGTCTCATTTCCAGGGCTGGGAAGGATTGGGGTTTGGGGGATTAGTTGCTCCTCCATCGCACCCAACACATACTGGATGAGATCAGTACGCCAGGACTGATTATCCATGATCATAGATGCCCAATTCATGGTCCGGACGAAATCGATCGTTGTATGGGATCTCTTTTTTTCCTGCCATTGCCGATTAGACTTTCCCGTTGCCCACCTTCCATCTTGAACCTCAGGCTTTTTGCACCCATTAAGCTCTTCCAAACATAGCTGGTGTTAGGGGCAACTCTAGTCTGCAGAATTGTACTAGCGCGAAACTACTTTGGCCTGAATAGCCTGAATCTCCACCCTTTTTCTGCTGATCAATATTCCGGCTAAATGAAACCTCCGAGGTTAACTTTTGGCCGGATTCAGCTTTCACATGTCTGCAGAATTCTCTTAGGGCTAGGGGTCGTTTGGATGGAATCCAGAGCTTTGGTGATAAGAGCTGAGAGACCTTCGGCACATAGACGACGAAATAGATATGGTTTTTGCTTGATTTCAATTCTCTTAAAAAAGTCAAAACACTACCAGAAAAGTTATATGCAATAATAAGATATTGACTTCTAAACGTTAGGTCGTCATAGAGCTGCAGATGAGTTCGTCCAGCTCGAGTTTAGCTCTTCAAAAAATAACTCAACTCGAATTTGGCTCAAACTCATTTAAACTTTGATACTCGAGCCATATCGTAGCTAAACCACATTAAATTCACTAGCTTGTTGTCCGACCCGTTGGTCGGAATGTAATTGAATACAACATATGTATGATGTGTATTTAAAAATTTTAAATTACTTAAAATACTGAATTTCATATGACATTAAGGTGACATCGAAATTATTTTTCATTTTCGAAATTCTTACAACTTTTCATCAATGATGAACATTGTAAGCTTAATTGTTATAACCAAACTTGTCAACCCGGTTTAAGTTGTTGAGCCGGTCAAGCAAGTAGTTTGAAGTTTAATGATCTGGTTGAGGTCCAACCTGTTTGAGCTGTTTTACACATTTTTTAAATATATTTACATATAACATAGAAATATAGTGACTGAAATGGAATGTAATAACTTATATCTATTAAAAACTCAAATTCCATAAGAAAACATACTTATTTCAAGATTCACCCACCATCCTCTTGTCTCTCCCCCCCCCCCCCTCCCCCTTCCCTCTCTCTTTTTCTCCCTCTCTAACTAGGGGTGGGCAACGAAACGGGACGGGATATACAACGGGTACCCGGTCCCATTTGAAGAGCAATATTCATCTCATGTCCCAAACCAGTACGGGTTACGGGTACCCGTTACCCGTACGAGATGGATAACGGGTACCCATATTACCCATAAATACTCGTTTCAAAATTCCATAGAATCCCTTCTTTGCATCTCCCGTTCCTAGAAACAACAAAATCATTTCTTCTCCAAACAAACCTAAACAGCAACACAAAAAAGCCCAGAGAATCTCATTTATTATTCTGCAACTACATAGTATTGTAAATGAAAATAATGTAAGAATATGTCAATTTTTTGATGGCATGACTTCACCTATTACGTCTAAAATGGCACTTACAATACAAAGATAGTTGCGGAATGATTACATGTTAGGCCATGCAAAATTAGCTTAATCACTATATATAATTGGGTAATCATTGCCTTCATTCCTTGTTGATTGGGCTTCTGAAAATTATGGTTTTATTGCTTGAAGTAATGCCGACGAGCAGCACAATCACTTGCAGCTATATTGCAATAATTTTGGACAAACGGGTATAACAGGTACCTGTAATACCCAAACAGGTACCCGCGGGTACTCAAAGTATCGATTCTTGATCCCAAATACCATCGCGTAAAAAGTTTTATGGGTATTTGGGTACCTGTAACCCTAAAAAAACGGGACGGGTACAGGTATATCCAAATACCCGTTTCCTGTTGCCCACCCCTATCTCTAACGATCAAACACTTGGTTTTGTAGAACCGGTTTTGGAACACGACTTTGGTCGGACCTAGTCCCACCAGCCGCCTGGTAGAGGTGTAACAACCTTGGTTATAACACTCGTGAATAACCATTCATAACTTGTCAATTTAATGATGTAGTCACTTTAAAAAGAAAATTGACATAACAAAAAAAGAGATTGTTTGAAAAAGCGTAGCATAACTAGTAAACTTGTGATCATAACCTTTAGAGTTAATTGCATGGTTGGTCACTAAGATTATAAAAAACATTCAAGTTTGGTCACTCTAAATATTTAAATCCATTGGTGGTACTTCAATTTACTTAAACCGTTCACATTTGGTCACTCTCCGTTCAACTCCGTTAACTTTGGCTGATGTGGCAGTCAACTCTCAAAGTTGACCGTTAACTTAGTGACGTGGCAATTAAGAAATAATAAATAAAATAAAATTTAATCTATTTTAATTTTCAACTCATTTTTACCATAAAATATTAATATTAGTGACCCGAACCCTCGAATTCCCCCACCGTGTTGCACAACCATCCGGCGGACTCCATCGACCCCGCAATCTGCGGCCGGAAGAACTCCGACCAATGATCCTTCCCATCGGCGTCTCTGAATATCTGTGGCAGTTGACTCATCCTAAACCGGCAATGTTTAGGAAACTCGGGAATTGAAAAGTACTCCTAAGTGTTGGGATCGTCGGAATCGACGATCCTCTGTTTCCGGTGAGGGAGATTCATCCACACCGACATGTAACCCAAGTTGGCTTACGCGCCACACGTCGTGAAAGTGAAATTACGAATCCCTATACTCTCCGCCGTTGACGTGGCCCACCCAAAGAAGACGTCGGAGATCAAGCATTGCGGAGCCAGCGAGGCGGATGTTGGAGTCACCGGTTTTTCTTCACCATGAGCAGAGTGCTTCTCCTCCAGGAATTTTTTCAATCCGCCCAACAGCAAACCAATGGCGTCGATGACTTCCCTTTCCGACAGCGCCTCCAAGGTGTTCGACCATTTGTCGCAGAGAGGGAAGACCGGGGGGTAATACTCTGCTCCTTCTTCGCCAGGGAGCAGGCATTTTAGGAGCCACCCGTTAAGGGACTTGAGACAATGCTTCTGGGTGGAAACCCCCGAGATAAAACTGAGAGCCTAGGTTTGTATCTCGATCTTGAGCTGGATTGTTGATTCGAGACACTCTTCGCTCAACTTCCCGTTTGTTTTGAAGGAGATGATGTCTTTAGATTGCGCTTCTGTAACTGCTTCTAACTGGGCTATGTGAGCTTCCCCCATGGATTTCCACATCTCAAGCAACCTTATTGTTTACACCAAAATAATTTTCATCAATTATTACTTGTATGAATAGCTTGGCCAATTAGGGTAGTTGGTCCGTGTGTACATGGATGGTCCAATTTATCAAGTCTAACCGTAGGGTTGTTCGATGGTAGCTCAGGCATGGATACCTTCCAAATCCAGTAATGGATGGTAGTGTCCAATAACATGGATACCATCCAAATCCAGTAATGGATGGTAGTGTCCAATAACATGGATACCATCCAAATCCAATAACGGATGGTAGTGTCCAAGAACATGGATACCATCAAAATCCAATAATGGATGGTAGTGTCCAACATCATGGATACCATCCAAAATCCATAATGTATGATAGTGTCCAACGTAATGGATACCGTCCAAACCCTAATGGATGATGCTAGGGTATGATGACCATTTAATATGCGTACTATCCATGGATTGCTGCCTTAGTCAACATGGATACCGTCTAATTTGTTTTGTGTACAGTAACCGTCCAATGGTCAAGTGATATGATGACGTATCGAGGTGGTTACCAGAAGCAGCACCTAACTTGTAAAGGACGCTCGAAGAAGTTACTGGATGCTACGTGGAGATGATTTTTGGGAAGAGAGAGAGAAGGCGGTTAGAGGACGAGGCACAACAAAACTCACAGCAAGACTCTGGAGGAGAGACAAACAATTCAAATCACAAATAGTCTCTTCAAAATTTATCTTTTCTCTGAAGAACAGTAACCGTAGCAGTAGCACCAGGGACCCTCCAACAAGGCTTCTCTATTAGTTGTAGTCAGTAGTTGCGGAGCTCTCAAGGAATCTCAATAGGAGTAGAGGTAACAGTAACTAGATCATTTGATGTATGCATCGAACACCCTCGTTCGAACAATGTTTGAAGAGGTGTGAACCGAGTAACATCGTTTTATGTTTTCTTGAAGTCAGGTGGCATTGATCACGCAAAATTCCACCTGAAACAAATTAGCACCTCCGGTGGGACAACGTGTGTTCGATATGGCTCCGCGACGAAGGATTCAGGATGGTGATCCTCCACAAGGTGCTGTGGAGGAGGGGCAGTTGGTTAACGTTGAAGTTGACCAAGCATGAGGAAACAATGCTGGAGCAGAGGCGCCAAACATGGCACCAAATGCAGATCTAGGCGAGGTAATGGTGTCTCTTCATCAGATGATGGAGGAGAACCGCAAAGCAACGGAGGAGAACCACCAAATGATGGCGGAGAGTCGCCAGTTGATAGAGGAAGCCAGAGCTATGGCTCATCAGGTAAACTCTCAAGTTGATTATCTCAATTCCCGCATAGATAGACGATTGGCTCAATTATTTGAGTTAGTAAACAAAAATACGGATGATTTGGGTGAGTTTAGGCAATTATTGAACATACCAGTTTTACGAACTAGCGCTTTGTCTTCAGATGGTCGGACTTTCCAAATCATGAAAGTGAAAACGCTAACCTACCGTCTGGTTGAGGTGAGCAGCCACGCCTGGTGAACCCTACACCACCGGTGGCAACCACCGTACCAACACCTCAAAGGGTGAATGTTGGCGAGAATAACGCCA